GACCGTGTTATCTGCACTTTCACGTGGTTAGTGGCGTCTTAAGACTTCTAATAAAGTTGAACAAGCGGCTTGAGCTAGTAAACACGGGCTCCAGGTTACAGTGTGTAATTGGGTTATACTCTTAATTGCGTCTTTGCGGAATCATTTTATTCAGGACATATTAATCTTTCCCTGCAGAACTTTTTTTCAAAATGTTGGATTAAATCCACGTTTTTACATAGCATATTTCAAATTGCGTTCAAATGAATTTGTCAATAGATGTTTATTCCTTACAAATACAGGTTTCAAATTATTAGAATGTAATATTTCAAATGTTCTGAAAACAGTCCTTATTTTGATAAATATTGATAGGAATCTCCAAAATGTAACCAACGACATTAATTGTATAAATGAAAATAGAGAAAATGACAAATAGGCCCTAAATTTCATATAGAGAGGTATTAATCTAAAATGGCGGATGCAGGGGCATTGCTATAGTTATTTAAAGAGTTCCCTCCATTTTGAATTTGAACAATTCCGTAAAATGTTAAACCAATGTTTTCTATGGCTTCTCCTAGCCAGCATCGACACTAGCTATAGGCCTTAAGATGTTGCCCAAACACCAATGATTTCATTATCCATAAGGGATTCATTTCTCTATTGTCATCGTTATCAAGTGTCCTATCAGGTCAAGGGTCACATGGTCTTTGTTTTACCTGACCCTAACTGGTTATCAATGCGCTACCTGTACTGAAGTTCTGTCAGAGAGGAGTACTAGTTGGACCATACCATTTACGGGAATCAGGTAAAATAACTATATTATGCGGGCTGACAGATGCAGGTTGAGTCTTTCGTCATTTTTACCTGTATTTTCACCTGTGGTTTTAAGTGTCAATGATCATTAAGAGTCATTATTGTGATGACAATATGTTGTTTTCCTGTATCATAGAATTTGCTAAATAAAGCAAACATTGTACCTTTCGTTAGTGATTGAGGTATAATGTACAGGTACATCATGTTTATTTAACGTTGAGGTTATCCAAAAAGAGGAATTTAAACAAATTATTCAATTTAAACTATATAATTCAATGCATATTTCCCAAATGTATATGCAAAATAAACATTAATGTAACCTTTTGCATCACTGAACATGGAACTGACACGTCTCTAGTTTCCCATGCATTGATGCAATTCAGTTTAATGAATACCAATTGAAATACCTAGTGATGATCACTTTATTAATTGTTTTGATGTTGGAATGTGTGACAAAATATGGAACATATGGTTGTTGCCGAAAGCTGCGATTTGAAATTACTATTTTAAACAACAAGCACATACATCAGGAACATGCGTATTTGAATTTTAGTGAAGTTGAATGAACGGGTTATTTAAAAAGATATAGATTCTATAAGCCAAGACTTTGTTTTGTACAGAATCGTTAAGCTATAGATCCTTGTTTTAATTTTGATACAATACAAAAACTTCATTAAATTATCAGTACAAGTAGGCTGAACCAAACAGGAAAAATATTGTGCAGAACCAAAGTTCTGTGTCATAGAACTAGGAACACGTGTCTCGATTATGGTTACATTTTCGAGCACTATAAATTCAGCATCAGATTAGCGCTATCACAAGGAGTCATGTACACCCAACATACCCTTTCTCTGGTACACATAGACACGTGCACGCATACACAACACACATGGAGGCACGTCCTTAAATGACCCGAGCTGATGATAGGGCGTTAAACAATAATTTATTGTTGATGTTGAGTTTTTTTTGTATTTCAATAAAAAAGTAAATTTATATAGTTGTGATAACAGGTAATATTCTTCTACATTGAACTAGGTAGAATTATATACAGAAAGAAAGGAACGAAATATCTCCCTTGTCCTAAAAAACTTACAGTGACAGCCCAGTTTCCGTTCCCATTCGGAGCCCCCACCAATATTATGGTTCATGTTACGAAAACAAGCAATTACAGGATTTTCGCTACGTCAGGTTGCCTTAAATTGCTTAGATAGTCTTCAATATTGCAAACAACATTGTTTTAAGTGTATGTATGACTATTTCAAGATTAATTTTTACACTCATGACACACAAGTTGTGTAACAAGAGGTCAGCATCTTAATACATTTCAATTACATAATAAAGTGAGTACATATTGTTTATACAATATGTAAATATATAATACTACAGAATAATAGCACTGTTATTATCGTATGACACTTTAAGCCTTAATTGTTTACTCTAGAAAACGATTTTTTTAGCTTAAAATTGCTTGGGTTTTTAGTGAAATAATTTTGGATATATATTTTGCTTATTGTTGATATCTAAGTATTTTGGCATTTAAACAACTAATGTGAATCATCACCTATACTTTGATACTAGGGCTGCAAAGATACGGTAACATCACGGTACGATAGTATCGCGGTACGATGCTTACGATACGATTCGTATCACGATACACTTATTGCTCAAAAGGTGAATTTCATAAAGATTAAGCACAGGATTTAACAGAGCGTTTTCGTAGATTTAAGTATAAATATATATTTTTGTATATTTTTTTTACTTTATTTCATAGGGCAACACCTTTACTTAAGAATTCTAAAAACAATTATTAAACTCTGACATTTAATAAAAAGATTGATAATTTCAGTACTGTTAGTATATCGCGATACAGACAAATAAAACAAATCGAAACGATACACAGGAAAATATTGCGATACGATACGATATAGCATATATCGTTGCAGCCCTACTTGATACGTACCCTTTCATTTTCCACGGGCCTGCTCGATTTGCGTTCACTGGTCACTCGAAAGGCCGTTCGGCTAGACATGCTTCGCTCTATTGGAATGTATGCTTCAAAAGCGGACTACAAGATCGGTTGGTTTTGGAAGAATGTGCGATATTAGCTAACGTGCGTCTAAATACGGCGACTCAAAATAAGTTTCCATTATCGCCGGATGTGCTCAAATCGAAAACGAGCCTGTCACATGACTTGCACATCTACCGGGCAGGCGACTTTAACAAATCGAGCAGGCCCATCGTATTTACATTTACCTAAGCGTCAATAATATACTTTCCTCTTTATTACTAATTAAAATGTACATATGGCGTTTGGCATGGTGTTTCATTCACCAAGTTCACTCTTAACACTTCATTTTAAACTGAATATGTCAGATGGCTTGAATTAATTGAAGATCAAAAGATAGAAAAATGGTACTATAATTTAATAATAAATATAAGATATCAAGAAAGATTCTAGGTGTTAGACACTTCGACGTTTTACCATAATAGCTTACCCATAGTTAATGCAGCTGATGACAAGTTTTACTATTATCTCGAGTGATCGTAGCCATTCTTTGGTACTATTTCTCAAAGCCGAAGTTCTTTGTCCATGTTTACATATATCATGGCCCCGACACAACAATATTACTATGTAGTTTTTCAATTTGCAAGATCTTGATTCCGTAATAAAAAGAAATACTGCTAAAATTAAGCTAAAATTAATCAAACACCCATCTGAAAGCAAGATTGTTGGATGAACAAACATACATATATATTCTTTGAGTTAAAAAACATTTTTTATTCTCAATATTTTAGTACATTAAATGCTTAGTTTGTGTTGAACACAAACAATGGGGCGGGTAACACGTTCACCGTTTCGCCCCGTTGTCCAACTGAATGTGCAAGCTGGAATCATTCCCAACTTTAGGGGTAAGACAGGAAAATATCTGACTCCAAAGGTGAGGAATGCTTCTATTATCCTTAAAATGATTAATAATATATATTTAACCAATATTTAAGGAAAATCCTGATAAGTTGGACTTGATACAAGGATCTTTTACCAGGGTCACGGCTAGTGATAGAGATCAAACAGATATCACTTCTCCACAATTTTATAAACGTATGTTTTTCTATGGTCCAGAAAATTGCCATACCGTCTCACTATAACTGTAACTTGGTGAACTCAGCTTGCTGTTATATCTATTTTAGTTTTAAATTCTTTAGCTATTGTGGTAGTGGTTACCTGCTACACGATCAGCATTTGGTAATCACAACAACAGGTAAAACCGTTGTCAGTATAATGTGACTTGGTGGAATACTGTGCCGGGTGCCTTCGGCATGGTATTTCAGCGAGGTACAATTCAGCACTCCAAAGTCGACACCAGATTCGCAATATTGCAATAAGGCAAATACACCAACATACCGAGCCTCCAGCAAACATACACCAATCAATTTTAGTGTTAATTTCAGCAAAAACCAGCCCAAATTAATATTTCTTGAGGGACTTTGGTAATAGATTAGGCATCACGTTCTACTTCGGCTTTAAAAGAGCCTTTTTAGTTTCTTTCGTACATCAGGTGTAAACGTATAGTCATTTCAGGATGTTGATATTATGTAACGTACACACATGTAATGCCACAGTCTCCTTAACATGTATATGATATGTTACTGGCACATATGACTGTATACATTTACATGTACGGGCACAAAGTTAGTCACACACTCTTCCCGTAGGTGTTTGATAACGGTGTAGAAGGTAGTTTATCAATTTAACGGGGCTTTAGTCTAAATATGGTTAACGTTTCTACTTTGGGTGAAAAAGAATATTTCAACTAATTTGCTATGCCGTAAATTAGCAATGGTAATTTCGGCACGGGGTAAGTTATATTTGTATCATGCAGCACATCTTGTGTCACACTCTCTTTAATATGCATAGCATAGAAGCAGGTTTATCCCGAATATGGTTGCACCTAAAAACTAATTGAAGACAACTGTATCTTGACTTGAACAATCGAAAATTAATTAACAGTCCACATTCCAACACTGTGATCGCTTTAACGTTTTCATTAGTCAAAAATAGCTCTTATATAATAAAAATAAAAAGACTAGATATTTCAACGAGACTTACTCTCAAAAGAGTTTTAATGCATACGTCTCTTGCCTTTACGATTTAGAAAATGTTATTCTGTTTTCTGTTCTTTAGTCTATTAAATACAATGATAACTTACCTGCATAACCGCAATGCAGCACAAGCACAAGGCTGAGAAGGAGTCCCAATGATTTGACGGACGCCATGTTGAACGTACGGACTGTCCTATATAATAGATTTCTTATCTTTGGGTTTAAGTATGCCTGCACCGTGTAAGTAGCTATCACAGACGACACCAACCATAGAGCTAAAGTAGGCCATTCAAGATATTGTATAACTAATTTAGGGGAAGTTGACGTGTTTTATATGGTTAATTAATATAATTAAATTCAGGGTCTAAGGTTATGCTACCGTCTCAGACTTAAAAATATCTTTCAAATTAGTATAACCTATGTTAATATTAGGTTTGTAAATGTTTTACACCATGTTACGGCCATTTAAAGATATGGCAGGGTTTGAGGCTGGAGAAAATCTGGAGTAGTCGGAGAAAAAACAACGACCTGCTGCCAGTATTTGGCGACTGCCCCCTTGAACCGCGACCAAGTGGTGAAGGGCTAGTGATCATAGATGATCAGATGCCTTAACCACTCTGCCATCGCGCTACCCCTCCCGCCCCTTTGATTTAACAATAATTTTTACACAAATGTATATTTAGAATAATCTTCCAATATGGAATTCAATATTAAAGAATATTCCCCTTGTCATCTTCAACTCGTCAGTAGGGCTTCATGAATAAGCTTGCATTTTTGATAAAGTCGTGGGTGATGGCGTTATGTAGTTGTGCTTTTTATTTTGAGAAGAAGAGAGGGGTTATTTTTTTCGGTGATGGAGAAACAATGACAGCTCTGATTTTGGGATAGACCATCAGTAGAGGAGTTTCCTTAATTAAGAATGCCTTAACGAAACAACGAAAACATGAAAACTCGGGACTGCTAGTTTTAATGACGCAACATGATCGCTTTGTTATCGGTAACGTGCTATCCGGTCGCCTTCCAATGCACATCATAATATTTCAATATGTGTCTAACATGGCAATTAATCTGATTTTTGATGTGTAGAACCATGTGAAAGATTAATAAATGATAAAATAATACATATCAGTATTGACGTCTAGACCAAAACTAATATCAAAATATACTAGCGGAAAAAAAAGAAACTGTGCATGCCTAAAATGTGTTATAAAATAAATGTGTATGACGTAGAACCACAAGGTTTCAGGGACAATTTATTTGTTATTTATTAACAGTTGCATTCCATTTTCCACGTTATGGAATCAATAAGTTCCGCTCAGGAGTGAGGTAAACACACCAGGGGTCAAAACTGAGTTCACAAAGTTAATGCCTCGTATGTCAACAGTTTGCCTGAATGCAAGCCTGGTAACGTCGACATAAGGAGCCTATCAGACGGTTCAAGAATGCTTGTGGGATGGCATTCCAGATCTGTACCAACGCTGCAGCCAAATCAACCAACGTCACCGGTTGATTAGGTAATGCCCGTAATCTGCGCTTCATTTCATCCCAGACGTGTTCAACGGGCGACAGATCGGGGGATACAGCAGGCCAGGGTGACGCGTCAACGTTCTGCTGGGCCAGAAAGTCCATAGCGACACGAGCTGTGTGTGGCCTGACTTTGTCATGCTGTAGCGTAATGTGACGTTGCTGCCCTTGCACGATTGGAACGACGTAGGTCCGGAGGATCTCGTCACGGTAACGTAGCGCGTTCAAATTCCCGTTAACAACCACCAGAGGCGTTCTCCCGTTGGCTGTGATGTCGCCCCAAATCATAACGCTGCCTCCGCCGAAAGAACGTCGTTGTACCACACACGCGTCATGGAAACGTTCTCCAACGCGACGATACACGCTAGAACGTCCGTCACTACTATCCAGGTGGACTCGCCACTCGTCCGTAAACAAAATACCTGCCAAATCCCGTCAAGTAAATCGCAGATGCCTTCTGCACCAGTCCAGACTTGCTACACGATGCGGGCGAATAGCTCGTTCACGCAATCGGTTCCGCACAGTTCTCGGGCTTATTGGTAGCAACCCAGGGATTGTCCGTGCTGTCAAACTTGCCGTTTGGAAGCGATTTCTCAAATGGACAAGCCGATTATGGTTGTACTGTTGACGTGGCGTCACACGTGGCCGTCCCGCACGAGATCGAATTGTTGATGTCGTCTCCACAAATCCCGGATTGTGTTTCAATTGATATGAAAACGTGTACAGACAACGGTTTGGCCCATACCAGCTTGAAGCATACCAATAATCCGGGAGCGGTCATTTTTGTTGAGCCTCGGCATAGCATTAATCACAAATTAATACGTTATAACGCTGTTTTTACTGTTCACCGGTCTCAACAGATTGACCCAACAGTTGAAAAATAAATTTCCATTGTCGAATTGGATGTCTGGACGAGAGAAACGTGCAAACTGGTCAACGCCTATAGAGAACAAACTGCACGGGAAAAACTGTCAACGACACACGGATAGTGTGTATGTGTCATACTCGGTCATGCCTGTGCATTTTCATGTATATACAGTTGGTAATACATGTTCTATAACAATTCTTCGCATGCACAGTTTCTTTTTTCCGCTAGTATATATCAAAACATATTTTAAAACGGGGTAGACATTTTATCAGCCAAGACAAAAGCAAAGTATTGGATAACGTATTCCAGAATGGTTCAACGTCCTGGGAAGCTCTTATTGTGATTCTAGGTCATTTATGCAAACCACATACGCTTTAGTCTTCTTAAGACAGCACCTAAGGACACGATCGGCATACACTATTTTCCTGATGTTAGTGGCGTTACTGCAGTGACAGTAAAAGGATATATCAACTAAGTCATGGTCAGGACGAAAGTAGGTGCACGGAATATTTACCAGTTTCTGAGATCTAGTGAACATATTCGCGAAGCTAAAGTTACATGTAATCACCCGCTTTTAGATACCCATATTAGATTATTGAATATTTTCTGTTTTGATATGCCTGACAGATGTATTTTTATATTATACTTTTTTTAAATCAATTGATCAAACAGAGCCATATTGCAATTTGTGTAGTATATATATTGAAAAATTCTACAAAAGTAATTGTCGATTACAAGTAAACACTAGGGGCCTCGGTGGCCAGTTGGTTAAGGCGTCTGACATTCTGCTCCCACTAACCCTCCAACACTGGGTCCCGGGTTCGAGACCGACTTGGGGCAGTCGCCAGGTAGGTCGGTGGTTCTTTCTCTGTGAACTCCGGCTTTCCTCCACCACCAATACATGACACGTCCTAAAATGACCATAGCTGTTAATAGGACATAAAACACAAACACCAAAAAGCAAACGAGTTATAAGCTATGACTTTTGCCAAGAATTTCCTATTTTACATTTAACGAAATCAAAAGGGACAGCCATATTGTTTCATCTCTATTTTCAAAGCAGCTTTTTACATAAACGGTATGTTATATATGTACTGTACCATTTTGATAGTTGTCCATGTAAATGTTTCATAAGGAGAAACTACCTTATATCATTGTTATGTATGTATATCCACAGTGGTGATGTCGTGAGTCTTTCAAGTTATATTATTTTACCATTTAATTCTATGTCATTTCAAAATGTCAAAATCCCGACCTCGAAAATCGAACTCGGGAAATGTATTGAAAAATGATAATATAACATAGATTCTAATTGGAAAACAACACAACGATTAAGAAGATTGTTTTGCACGTAACTGTATAGTTTTTAAAATTGTGCATAAATCTTTATAGCATTTATTTCACAAAATACATTGTTTGGTTTCCGTATGTGCACCAAGCTAAGAATGGATTTCAGCCCTTTCTCCCCTATGTGAATTTAGTAAACTAAACCATGCATTGTTTTTGGTAAGTCTATTATGGCCCAAAGAGATGAAAAGGTACAATTATTATTCCACACGGTGTTTGCAGTATTAAGATTCTGTTTAATAAATCGTTTTGTTGACCAATAATTTAGACCTTACACCCCTTTGTAACTTTATAAAGAGTCTACCATGCATTTATTTGGGTTAGTCTATTATGATCCACAGCGGTGAAAGGGTCAAATCACTATTCCGGACTGTGTATAAAGGGTTCCAATCAGAGGGGATTTAATCTACGATAACAAAAAATACAATTGTTGTCATGACATGCTTTTAAATTATTATATTTCAGTTTCTTCCAAGACTTATAAATCGGTTCTCATGTTTTAATTTGATGGTTAATCAAGGACATTTTAGATTTCATTGAAATCATTTCTGTTTAACAGTTTTTCTTCCGATATTTTAGGTTGCATGATGCCTTTCTCTGTATTTCGATGCCTTCCTCTGTTCTCCTTGTTGCCTGTTGGTGTCGAGTTTGAGTTATTACTTTTCTTGCTAGCTGACATGTTGTCCTATTCCTTTTTTTCTACATAGACGTAAATAAAAAAAATGAAATGCAACTTTTGCTTGATATTGTTTTTATTTTCACCGGGATTCACAACATATTGGTCAAACGTTAATTCGGAATGTACAATTCGACAAATAACACGATAAATGTGTTTAAAAACATCATCAATAACCAACACTTTATATACATTATAATAAATGTTTACATATATCATATCGTATTATATACATAGTATTTTGTTTATATCTTTTTCTTATAATTATCAAATACATGTATATACAATTCATATCTTATTCATATAATATTAGGTATGCATTTTTTCATATGAAGATCAGCTTTGGTTTTGCCATTTAAAATACGTCTTCCTCTCAGGATAGAAATCAAACAATACAAAACTGTATAACACTCAAATATTAATAGTATTACTCTCAAAAATCTTTGTCTAAATAAAAACTCATTAACAGATATAATATTCGAGTTTACACGTTCAGACTGCAATACCGCGAAAAGGAATTTTCCATGAAACAAACACTATGCAGTCATAAGCAAGCATTACCTTGTCGTTTATACAGATAACTTAATTAACTGAACATTTCGGATTAAGTATTCATGAATTTGGTTTATTTTTCATAAAGACATGAATGTACCTAGCACAAGTGCTAATGCATACTTTTTTAAAAAGCATTTTTGATAAACAAACTTTGTATGAGTCGTTGCTAAGTAGCATACACTGCCACCAACAGTGCTTGAAATATCAACTAAGCGAACACGCCAGCATGGCTAATGATTAAACAAAAGGTTAACATTTCTTTGCGAAACACATAAACATGAAATATAATCCGTTGAACCAGTCACATGGCGTCATTGTTTCATTCACGTCTAATCTGTAAGACATCGCATTTGTTTGCACGCTAACTACCACACTATAGTGATTAATGTGGAGATCACAAGCGACACAAATCATGTCACAAATATATTCGTCTTCTTTATAGGAAATTATATCTGTTTGTCAATCCTTTTCTTGTTAGGTTACCTTAAAAGTCGACAAGGTCACACGGTAAATAATGCTTTGAAGCTATGATACTTGCAAAAACTTCATTAAGATAAACAGTTTTTTATATAATCTATTTTAGGAATCTGGTTATCCATTTTATAATCCGTATTGATTTTTGTGCCTACTGCCTGATTAGCCTTGTATCAAAATCGTGCAAAATGGCAATATCACAAAAATGGGTTGTCGTAAAGTTTGGCGATATCTTTCTGTAAGAAAGAAATTGAAGTTATTCTTGATATTCATGACTTCTACACATATTTAGTCAATCGATGTCACGTATCATATTATTATGTATCAATACATATAAACTCTAATGCCCCAGTATACTTACAAGAAGTCGAAATGGGATTTTGTTTAGTATTCAAATGAAACAAAAAGTATTTTCGTATGTTCATTGTTCCCTGTACAGAACATGTAAACATATTTGAAACAAAATTCCCTCGGAAAAAAAAACGAAAAGGAAAAGGAAAAAAAAGCAATTGGAACATGATAACTAGTGACTAGTAATGATAACTAGTTTAATGACGCAAGCGCCATCGTTGTGTTATCTGCTACATGCATGTATTATCAGTTTGCTTTCCAGTGCACATATTATAAATGTGTCTAACATGGAAACTCATTTGTATCGTAATGTGTAAGAACCATCTGTAATATTGATGTATAACAAAATGATATGTATCAGGATTGACATTAACACCAAAACGAATATAAAAGTGTTTCAATACAAATTTTATAAAGGGAGTGAAATCGTAATAGCCAAAACCAAAGCAAAATATTGGATAACATATTACAGACATGCTTACGTTGTGGGAAGCTCTTGGAAAGGTCCTCACTGCTTACGGTCTACGATGTATATGACAAAATAAAACAGCTTCATTTAAAATTAAACAACATTTCAATACACTAGTCTGCAGTTAGGACAAACTAGTTTTCATGCTAGCACTGAAATATACAAAATACACTTTATTGGAGACTTATGCTTAAATCTACTTCTTGGCTATGATCAATTTGATAACCCCCTTTGAACGGACATCTTTATATATAAACAACATATAAACTCACTGTCTATAACAAATTGTGTTAATTAAGTATCCCTAACCCACTGCACTGGTGTTTTTAAAATATATACTTTAACATTTCCTTAATTTCGTTTGAATATCTATGTAGCACAATGACGCCAGGGTACTTTCATTGTTCAGGTAGCTCATTCGATCAGAGGGGTAGTTTATAGGTATAACTACCAGTAGGCGTGTGTTGGAATCCCCGCTGATTTTCTGTGAATCAGAACACTGTTATGGATAATGATATTTCATTTTTATATATTCTTTTTCGAGAAATCCAAAAAGGTATGGTTTTCTTTTCAGAACGGGTATCGTCATCCTGGTACAGTTTATGAAAGTGGTACAAGGATCCTTAAGGCTGATGCAAATATCTCCTTACTGCAATCTCTTCGTTTTATTACGATACATGAGCAAGATGAAAGTTTTCACTGATTTCCATATAAAGATGTTCTTAACAGTCGTCCATATTCTTGTTTATGACCAGTTACGAGAGATGATATGAAAGATCTCAACCGTAGCTCCATCTTACAGAATAAATGCCATATAGACACAAACAAGTCTGTAGCCAGCACTAATGACATCTGGTCACGAGGACTGTGCTATCTTGCATGATAGCTTATGATAAAAGCTCCCAATGATTATAGCAATGACTCCCCATTGACGCTTTCAAGTAAGAATCATTGTGATGAACCAAAGTTCCAATTGGTAAACAACAGACAGCTCTATCTGTAAGCATTACCAGCAATGACGACTGATGACACGCATCTAAATAAACGGTGAAAAGATTAACATACTGTTATATAAAATGCTTTCAAGTGGGCGAATTCATTATGAGAGTGAATTTTAAAAGATGCTTCAACAGATATGGTCCTCAAAAACAGGATTGATTTGGACCTAAAAGAACATATTCCCCAAAGCAAAATGGTGCAAGAAAGAGATAAGCGTACTCATTAGCAGAAAACATCCGCATGCACGTTTTTTGTTTTGGGTCTCATGATTTAAAACTATTCCATTGGTACTAGCAATCGCAATACATATGTAGGTTACATCAACATTTCATCGAAAGTTCTCTTTGGCTTATGTATGTCTGTAATTTGGGCCTTTTTTATATGCGATGCAGCCAGCTTGTAGATAACAGCAATGTATGCCATATCTAGGTCCTACCAACAAATATTTGCAGCTATATCAAACCTCGACCTAAATCAACCCTCAAACTAAGTCAGTCCTCGAGCTAAATCAATCTCTGACCTTTATCACCCGTCGACTGATATGAATCCTCGACCTATGCCAGCCTTCGACCCATTGTAGCCCTCACCGCTCCGGTCCCTCATTTTGTTAAGAAGAAAGAAATCAAAACGGACATAATATAAGTTAAGCCCAATGTTATAGTATTCCAATTCAATTAAAAAAACACCTAGTCAATACACAAAGCTCCTTGTTATATAATGTATTTATGCATGTTTCAAATTTCAAAAAAAAAAATCTATTTCATAGGAAGATATAGTGCTTTTTCAATTCCACACACGTCCTGGTTCATATTGATAGCTTCAGTTAAAAGAATTCCCTTTTTTTGTCCCAATAGTGTTGCAAACGACTTTTCCCATCCTGTGTGTATGCAAGTTCTCTAAGATGAGCAGCTTCGTATGTATACCCCCTTATTTGTGTAAGTAAGCTGAGAAATTAACAGGACACATTTTAAGTTCATTGTGAACATCGATTTGTCAACGTCTTTTTAAATGGTTATTACTTCACCGATATGTTATAATTGAATCCATGCCATTAGATAGTTAAGGATTTGTTGAAGCGGCAACAAAGAAAAAACAATCATTACATTTATATAAACATGTCAGTGAATAGATATTTTATTTTGTTAAATGATCAGTGTGCTCCATTCTATTTTTATTTCATATTTTTTCGAGTATATTTAAATAGGAATACTTTTGAAAGCTTTTACAAAATAAAATTCAAAAGTTCAAAAAAACACCAGCTAATGGGTGAGTGAAATTAAGGTTCGAATATTTTGTTGAGCACTTTATATTAACGGTATTATAATCCCTGTAAAGGAAATACTAATTAAAAACAGTTTGTATCGTACTTATATCTTATGTGCTGGAAAGTTCAAACAACAGTGTAGGTTACCCTCTTCGACCAGTTTATTGGCGGAGTAATGATTGAAACGGTTCCATTTTCTATAATTAACCGCGGATAATCCAATTATTTACAACGAGAAGTATTTTTAACATTCAGATAGCATCCAATGTGAGCGTGTACCCTATCAATGTCCGTAAAAGGGGTTACAGAATCTAATTATGGGATCGTTTCGGGCGATAAATGGCACTTTTCTCGACAAAAGAATCAGAGTACCAGGATTTTTGTCTCTGTTGGCATTAACAAGTGTTTTTTGTTTGAGGTGCAAAAATCAAATAAGGAATACAATTAGAGAGCTTTCATTTCATTGCATTTACTTACAGGCATGTTCTCGTAAATATTTGAACGTTTAAAAATGAACATGTTCTCAAATCAAATCGATCAGGCTTTAGAAGCCTCTTACAAAACTTAATATCTAGCAGATGAGATTGTCATCATAACACATCCCAGAAACATCACCTGTTAAGTAGCAAACCGCAACATATTAATTGGTAAGTGTAAAGGTAATCATATCTATCTTACCAATAAATAAATAAATTAATATTTATACAGAATCATCATAAAGGGAACGTAAAGACCAGGGACCGTATCCATGAACCCGTTATCATGTTCAAGCATGGATTCTGTGCTCAAACCAATTTTCTTGTAACTCACTTCAATCATGTCAAACGATCAAAACGTCAAATCTAAACATTGAAAACAGTATTTGGCTTGAAGGATTTTGATTTTGTCCAGACATTTTTGACAAAAACACATTCTAATGATAATTTTTGAACAAAACAAAAACATAGTCCGGAGCACAAAATCCATGCTTGAGCATGAGAATGGTTTTATGAATACGGGTCCCGTTTCTTCTATAAAAAGAAACTTATGTCAATGTACACATTACACCAGTGAAACAATGTATTAGTCTTAAAAAAAAGTGCTTCTTATTTATTCTTTTCAAGGTACGGTTACCGAGAAATTTTCGCCGCAGGTAAATTTTCGCTTTTTCTGACCTCCGTAAGGAGAGCAAATCTATTGTTACAGAAAACATTAGTAATTGAAAGCGATATAAAAAAATAAAGTAATCAAATGTGAAAGGCGGAATAAGTCTTGGGCGAAAATGGATTAAAATGGCGTAGGGCGAAAAATCGTCTTGTTGAAAGTACCACAGTAAACAATATTTCATTTTTTTTAATTTTGAAAACCTTTCTTCTTCTTGAACTGTCTAATTTCATTGCAGAAATGAATATTGAACAAAAATACTTCAAAACACATATACAACTTTTGCAAACGTCGTTCTGCCTTTCTCGATATTTATGTCGTTTATGAAGTTATGGTTTTCAAAACAATGTTGCGTGTTTCCTTTGACATTTTGTTTGGAAAACTAATAATCAATAATACGCCTTCCTTTTCAGTCGACATTTAAGAATTCTTGCAAATGCTTTCCGGAATTCCAGGCTGGAGTAAGCGTATATAAATGGGTTGATAGCAGAGTTGACGTAACCCAACCAGAATGTCCCTTCCCTGACAATGTCGGGAAATTCCACATCGGTAGCGGCATCTGAAAAATACACAAATTCATAATTAGTGATTAGTGCAGTAAAAAAGCAAAAGAGAACTAAATTCATAGTAAGTGATTAGACAGTAAAAAAGCAAAAGAGACTTAATTCATAGTAAGTGATTAGAGTAGTAAAAAAGTAAAAGAAAACTAAATTATAGTTAGTGATTAGTGAAGGAAAAAATAACAAAATAACAAAATTCATAGGACCTTAATTTTTTCCTAATATAATGAATTTAAATCATGTTGGAAAACGCAGCTATTGGTGAAATATTTGAGTGCAATTCCAGATTAATTTGTTTTCTTGACAATCAATGTTTAATAATCAAACATCTACTTCAATCTCTCTTGATATCTTTGTTTTCTTAATAAATTTAGATAACCTAGACAGGAATGTCTCTGTCAGCTGCGCTCCCTTCGTCCGTCCTAATTAGGCTCATACACCTTAAATTCACTTGCATTCAATGAAATTGTATACCGAGTGTTTTATAAGGCTGGATGTAATTAGGAACAATCATCATTTCAATCGGACCAATAAAACGAATCGTTAAATACAACATCATCTAACGCAAAGTCGTGTTTGATCATTCGTCTGTGTATCTTGTCATCTATTCTTCACTCTTCAGCCTCATCATTTATATTTTCTTTAAATAAAAGTATAACATATTATATAGAAATATTCAATCAATGTTATTTACCCATCTAGTGCTCGGATCCAGTGACAACCTTGGATCATACTGTCGTAACTACTTATGAGACTGACTGAAAAAAAACCAATTGTGTTGACCTCTGAAGCATGATCGCTTAGTTTGATACTGTCGAAGTCTTGACGTCACGGGCATTGCAATAAGTTTAAAAACCAAGCTACTTAACTAAACGCTTCTATGGAAATAGAGCTTAACGCAAATTTTAACTCATGAAACGGAGTGAACGCAAAGTCTCCACGTGATGCTGTGTGCCCACTGCGGGTCGCTCACAGGAAACACGCTCACAGGAAACACGCTCACAGGAAACAGGAAACACGCTCACAGGAAAGACGCTCACAGGAAACACGCTCACAGGAAACACGATACAGGCAAATAACAGGGCATTGACTCTAGTTTAGGCTATAATTCGTGTTTAACATTGATTCTACTGGTACATTGTATTATCTATATCGTGTATAACGGTTCTGCCAGCAGGCGTTGTCTGTTTTTGAACGTTATAAAGTCCAAAACTTTCATTCTATTAGAGCGTTGTAACACACAGAATGAACTCTTAGATTCGGAAATACATCACTTGCCCTGTTCTTCGCTATATAAGAGGAATTGTTTTTTTTGTCACCCGTCAAAGTTAATTTGAATTAACTGTACTCTGTTGTGGAGATGCCTCAGTATTGTTTGGACAAAACTGAAATAAGTTTTCTATACTGGCGCTTAGAAAATTGACAACGTCCGAAGCGTATATTTCAAGCTGATTTATGTAAATACAATTGAACTACATACATATTACACTAGCGGGTATCTAGGCAAGCAAGTATTTCAGGGAGATAACACTATAAAATCGGCATCAGATCTGCGCCATCACAAGGAGGCAAATACACCAACATACCCGGTCTCTAACACACAAACACAGATGCCGGCATACATTATACACATGGAGGTACGTCCTTAAATTACCTTAACTGTTAATAGGACGTTAAACCATGTACAACCAATTAACCTACACAAGCAACAACGATACCAAAGAATAAGATTTGTTTGAGATCTAACTGAAGTATCTACTAAAAGATAATATCGGTTGTATCGAGGTTCAAATGCTGGCAAAGAATTAGAGCTTAACTCAAAGTGTAGCTGAGAATTTTGAGATAACGCAATGCCTAACCAAAGTAACAAGCTTAACGAAAAGTCTTGTCAACAAAAAAGAGCTTCAGTGTCCGATTTCAGGAATGAATCTATACACAAAGTCAAATAAGCAATTAAGCGCTTGGCGCATAGTTTCATTAAATAGATGGAACTGAACACGTTTTCGTATACATGAACCAGAACTGTTTTATACAACAGACTCCATATGTCTTTATCTCTTATGCAAATCGTAACACATCATTGAGTTAACTGTTCTTTGTCTATCTAATTCAGCCTCAAAGGACATAAATCTGTTTTCCAAAATCAGCTATGTATAACCCTATCCCAAACACTCTGCAATAGATATCACTGCTAATGGAAATTCAACGTGAAGGTTTGCCCCAGAGAAGATTCATTTTACGAGTGATGGTATCCTAGATACATGCAGATAAGGCGTTCTAGCAGTGATAATGGTAAAATATATAGGAGTTCCCAAGAGAGCTTCAGCTAGAAATAGATACATAATATGATAATATTTTTTTCTAGGAAATATTGTTAGTACATTCATGATGGCCCTGACCTTAATCTGTATTTATTTGTTAATGTTGTTGTGTCCCATACTGGCTATATGTCAAGTATATTCTCAATGTCATGGGGACACACGGTAATCGTTAGTTATAGCAATCTTCCAGTCCAATTCAATTATGATAATAGAGATATATTCTTCAAGAATACGCACTACCAAGATAGTCTTGTTCAATATTCCCTCAGTAGTATTGAATAATTCCCAAATACGTTGAATTGGAATTAATTGTGAATGTGAAACATATTAAAAAAAAATCAAGAAGCATTTTAAGACTGATGTAGGTTTTGAATTCTATGATACGATTGGGGAAATCAATTTTGATTCACATAGACCAAAAACAAAATACAAAACAATACTGCTATAAGTGTCATTTTATGTAGCTTAGAATTTTGAATGTCGTATATTATAAATTTATAAGGGCCAAGAGTCACATTTCATGTTTTGTATGTAAACTATACTATATATGATAATTATTTACAGGTGTTGGAATGCATGTCTTTAATTACTGACACTTAAGACTAGATATAACAAGAGGAAATATTTCTCAAACATCTAATAAAGCACACGGTATCTTTGGGGTCAATTATCTTGTCGTAATGTGTGTTATCGAAACAGGGTGGAATTAATATTGGATTAAATAAAATGTATAGATACCAAACACGTGCAAAAATAAATCCATATTTCAGTCCCAAATTTCTGGTTTTCATATTTTTTGTAAGTGTTTATAATGTCTGCCATTTTGTTTTGTTGTCTCCAAAGTTCCTGGAGTTTTTGTTACAATTTTCTGTTCCTAATTGGTGTCTCTTTGTGTTGCCAATGTAGTCAATAGTTTATCTGTTTCTCATTTTGTTCTATTATAGCAGGGATGGTTGTCTGTGTATACATCCTTAACTTGGTTTTGTTTATAGTTTAGGATCGACGAACATGCAAAGACTAAAACACTCACAGTAAGAGTATTTGGTTATTTGCACTCACGTCAGAATAAATTTGAATAGCAGTGCACTGTACTGATATTTTCTTCAGTGGAGCTTGAAGGAAAATTGGTGCAATTTATTTACTCCCAATAACAGCATTGACTGCTTTTTGAGCATGTCTCCAGTTTATCTTTATATTTCCATATTAATGGACAATAACGGATAACAGACAAACAAATACAGCTAAACTCAAAGACTTACCATAGATATGAAGGTAAACGCGAGATATGACCAAAGATAGTGATATCGTATTTCAAGCATGTGCTATTAGGAACAATATTGAACGTGATCAAAAGTGACATGGTCTAGGATAAAGGTCCCTTTAAAGTTGTGGCTGGCCAACACGTTTATCATTGTCAATCCTCTTGTGGCACAAGTGTTATCGAAACAGGTTTACATAAACATTAGAAAGGAGTGTAACGAAGGACAAAAACGTGCACAGATGAAACAAATTAACACAAGCTTTGCCTTCTGATGTTTCTTATGGTCACTAAGCTTCTCCATTAGTTTTTTGTCTGCTTAGTTCCTCTTGTTTTGTTGTTATTTTATCATATGTTAATAAGCTGTCTTTGTATCCTTCACAATGGGGTAACATTTTTTCCTATTTTTTCTATTCATAAGTAGTTCAAATGAGTCTTAAATGGACGATATGTTGCAGGAAAATGTCTACTTTGTTTGGCTTGCATTAACTACAAGACAACTCTTCAAATAATCGCTTCCTTTCTCTTTATTTCTAGTCATTATTGTGTTATTAAATATTTTGCATTGAGTTGATCATTTGGTTAAATAATTCGTTTATTTTATATTCCAACAAGTATTTTCTATGGTAGTTGAGTCTGGTATCCTGTATATGTCTCTTTAATTGGTTACGGATTAAGTTAAGTAGCAGGTAAATTCAGGTGCTAAATTGAATTAATACAAGCTGATTGGTTTCTTCTTGATCACAAGTCGAGGTGATTTTGTACAGCAACTGACAAATATATCGAGACGGAAAACACACACAGGAAATGAACTAGGCATTGCTTCAAGTAGAGGTAATACTTTGTGTTTTATATCGATTTTACTTTTACTTTTGTTTATCGGGTCCGCTGGTTCTAAGACAAAGTGTATGGTTTCTTGTGGACAAAATAACATTAACACTTTCTTGCTATTACAGCCCAGTACCTCACAGTAACAACACTAATAGAATAGTGATTTAATCACCTGCCTTCGGGTAAAAGGTCGATGTTCGTAACTGTACAAGAGTAATAGAACGTTCGCACACTCGTTATACTCAATTTGAACTAACAGTGCCCTGTATTGGCAGTTTCTTAGGTATAGCCTGAACGAAACAGAAAAAGGTTTCACTTATTTGCACTTATAAAAGTGGTAGTTTTTCGAACACAAATTCATCATGATCTTTATACACACTAGAAATTCTTTTGACAAGCCATTACTTCACCGAAGGAACTGTAAACGATTAGTTTAAAATACTGTACAAAGGTATGCCATTCGACGTCGGGATTCGAACCCGCGCCTACAAGAGCATCGGCGTTCAAATTTTTGGCAAACACTTAGACCACACGGTTTACTCGAGCTGGTACATATTATTTTTATAATGAATTATCTTCTCTTTTTAAG